AAATTGGGAAAATTTTGTAGGGCACATTTGCCTGAGACAAGTGCCGCGGGCATGCTCAATCCATGGAACCGTTCGTGCCGGATTCTCCGGAATACCGTCTTTGGAACCGTCTGAAAGCAAACACGGTGACGGCTGACATGGATCCTGCACACCGACTCTCTGTGCTTGGCCCTACACTAGTGCCCTGGCATTCCATCCCAGCCCAACCCTACCTGGACTTTTACTTCAAGTCGGACTGACATTACTTCGTAATGAGGATGATTAACGACCCCGCAACGGGTACCCCAAGCATTGGCGCGCATCAGGACGCAGCATTCAAGGAAGGTGACAATCAGATTACGGGCACAGAGGCAGGTGATAAGTCTGGTGGTCCAGCAAGGAAAGCCCGCCTTCCCGCCAAGAATGCTAGAAGCGGCACAGCCACCCGGCCCCGCTCCCTCGCTCCCAGCCAGCGGTCTCTGGGCGGGGGTTTTGGCAGACGTCGAGGTGCTGTGATAGGCCGGCGATCCAAGTACGCCATGGGCTGCTGCCCTTGGCACGGATTGGCAAGGGTTTGGGCATCTTGGCCAACACACCAACCGACTCCTTTCAAGTCCCAAGCACGGGGCGTGGCCTTGTGTGAGTGGCGTGGGCAGCATCGGATGGCGTCGGCGATCCGAGATGAGATGAGATTGATAAACCCTGGCCCGCCGCCCCAGGGCCGCACCTCTCGCTCTTCCAACCAACAAACCGCTCTGGTTACCGGCGAGCACTATTATTGAATGGGGACAGAGAACGAACTGGACGTCGAGGGGCAGACGGAGCCTCCTATACGTGGCCTCACATCCCACTCCGTATCGAATTCCGCGTCCATCGCACCCTCGGCCTCGCCCACCCTCGCCGGCACCCTCGTGACCGACGACGACTCCGCCCCGGCCTTCCACCCCGAGTTGGCTCACACCCTCTCGGCCCCGGGCGTATGTGTGCTGCTTAGCACCGATGCCGACCATGGCCTCGACCCCGCCGAGGCGGCCCGCCGCCTGCAGCACCATGGCCCTAACACGGTTGAGGGTGCTAAAGGGCTATCCGTGTGGACGATTCTCCTAAGGCAGGTGTCCAACAGCCTAACTCTTGTGCTCGTCATCACCATGGTGCTGTCGTTCGCCATCCACGATAACATCGAGGGCGGCGTTATTGTCGCCGTCATCGTCTTTAACATCGTCGTCGGCTTCCTCCAAGACCTGCGCGCCGAGCAGACCATCCAGGCCCTGTACGCCCTGTCAGCCCCGACCTGCAAGGCCCTGCGCGCCGGCCGCGTCGAGACGATCCGCGCCGAGGACTTGGTGCCCGGCGACATTGTGCGTCTGGGCGTCGGCGACGTCGTGCCCGCGGATCTGCGATTGTCTCATGCCATCAACCTGTCGACCGACGAGGCGCTGCTGACGGGTGAGTCGCTCGCCGTCAGCAAGCACGCCGAGCTGGTCCTCAAGGACCGCGACGTGCCGCTCGGCGACCGCACCAACATGGTGTACTCGGCCAGCACCATCACTCGCGGCCGAGCTACTGGCATCGTCGTCGCCACCGGTATGGTCACCGAGGTCGGCAAGATTGCCATGCTTCTCCGAGGTGGCCGCGGTCCGGCGCGCGACGAGAACGTGCGCGGTGTCCGACGAATCCTTAACAAAATCCAGGATGTCTTCCGCGTGCTGCTGGGATTGGATGGCACGCCGCTGCAGGTGACGCTGAGCAAGTTTGCGCTGCTGCTCTTTGCGCTGGCCATCCTCCTCGCCATCACTGTCTTCTCGACCTCGCGCTGGCACGTTACCAGTGAGGTGCTCATCTACGGCATCTGCGTCGCCGTCGCCGTGATCCCCGAATCGCTCATCGCCGTGCTCACCATCGCAACGGCCCTGGGAACCCGCTCCATGGCGCGCGGTAACGTCATTATCCGCCGTCTGGCCGCCCTCGAGGCTGTTGGCGGTGTGACCAACATCTGCTCGGACAAGACTGGCACCCTAACCCAAGGAAAAATGGTCGCCAAGCGCGTCTGGCTCGCCGACGGGACTACCGCGTCCGTCACCGACACGACGCACCCGTTTGACCCCGCCAGCGGCCTTGTTCTTGTCAACGGCATGCCTCCCACCATGGCCGAAAAACAGCCCGCTGCGCTAAAGGACTTCATGGAAACTATCGCCCTCTGCAACAACTCCACTGTGACGGAAGAGCATACCGCCCAAGGTGAACCGACGGAAATCGCCCTGCAAGTCCTCGCGCAACGTTTTGGTATGGGAAAACCGACGCTCCTCGCCTCCACCGACTTCGCCCTGCTTGCCGAGTTTGGGTTCGATTCGTCCTGCAAGCGGATGACGGTCATCTACACCGACGGCACCACGGCCACGGCCCACACCAAAGGCGCGCTGGAGGCGCTGCTGCCGCTGATGAAGCTGTCTGATGACAAGAGAGTCCGCATTGTTGCCCAGGCGGACGAGCTCGCAGCCGAGGGGCTGCGGGTTCTCTGCGTCGCGAGACGGGAGGTGGATGCCGAGACCTTTGCCGTGGACATGTCGCTCTATCCCGGAGGGGATGCCGGCGACCGGCGGGGCGCGGCCGAGACGGGACTGACGTTTGTCGGGCTGGTCGGGATATACGACCCCCCGCGGCCAGAGTCTGCCGCGGCGGTCAAGAAGTGCCAGGATGCCGGGATTACCGTGCACATGTTGACTGGTGACCATGTCACGACGGCGACGACGATTGCGCGGGAGATTGGCATTCTGAAGGGGAGCGGCGGGATCATGGTCGCGGGCGAGTTTGATGCGCTTACTGAGGAGGAGGTGGATAAGCTGCCGGCGCTGCCGCTGGTTTTAGCAAGGTGTAGTCCGGCGACCAAGGTCAGGATGGTCGAGGCGATGCACCGCCGGAAGGCCTTTTGCGTGATGACTGGGGATGGTGTCAACGACTCGCCCGCGCTGAAGAAGAGCGATGTGGGCATCGCCATGGGGCTAAACGGGAGTGATGTCGCCAAGGAGGCGGCGGATATGGTGCTTACCGATGATAACTTTGCGTCCATCGTCACGGCGATTGAGGAAGGCCGAAGACTCTTTGACAACATCCAAAAGGTATTTCTCCTCCTGTTCCACGCCGGGGTGATCCCACTAACAGCAACAGTTCCTTCTGCACCTCCTGGTCTCCAACATCGCCCAAGTCCTCCTCCTCCTCATCGGCCTCGCCTTCAAAGACGCTCACGGCGTCTCCGTCTTCCCCCTCTCCCCCCTCGAAATCCTCTGGGCCAACCTGGTAACGTCCTCGTTCCTGGCTCTCGGCCTCGGCCTCGAAGACGCTCAGCCCGACGTCATGCTGCGTCCGCCGCACGATCTCGCGGTGGGCATCTTTACCCGCGAGCTCATCGTCGACAAGTTCGTCTACGGCACCGCCATGGGCGGCCTGTGTCTCGCCGCCTTCTCGAGCGTGGCGTACGGCATGCCGGGCGCCAACGGGCTGGGCGAGGGGTGCAACGAGCAGTGGGCGCCGCAGTGCGCCGTGGCGTTCCGGGCGAGGGCGACGACGTTTGCGACGCTGACGTTCTTGCTGTTGGTGACGGCGTGGGAGGCTAAGCATTTCACTCGGTCGCTGTTTAACATGCACCCCGAGACAGATAAGGGGGCGTTTTCGGTGTTTCGGACCGTGTGGCGGAATCGGTTCCTGTTTGGCGCCGTGAGTGCCGGGTTCGTGATTGCGTTTCCCGTGGTGTACTTGCCTGTGGTCAATCGGACTGTGTTTAAGCATGATGCTATTACGTGGGAGTGGGGTGTGGTGGGGGCGTGTACGGTGGTGTATGTGGCGATTGTGGAGGCGTGGAAGGCTGGGAAGAGGAGGTGCGGGATGGGGAGGGTTCGGATGGAAGGGGTGGTGGGTGTTTAGGGGAAGATGTGAAGGGGAATCGTGAGAAGTTGTGGGTGAGTTCAGATTGTGTTTTGGCTTGTTTTGTCTCGGGTTTTGATCATCAGATTGTCCGATCAACCTGGGCTGCTGCAACGTGTGTTGTCGGTCTTTACCGTTGATTAGTATCTGCATTTGCTGCTAGAACGGAATAACACTCTTTTCAATAACTTGCATGGGTGGAGTGGGATGTGATTTACATGGCTGTTGATATCGTGTGCGTCTTGGTTATGGGACTGTAACTACGATGCTTACCGCTTAACGGTACAAGGATATAGTAGTCGAGACTGGGAAACACGTTGGTATTATCAGCTAGGATAGTAGAGTTCAGTTGTTAGAGTCAAGACTTCAAGGCTTTTTACCGACAGCAGCTCACGCCAATATGACAGTCGGCATATTCCATGACGCGATGGAGTAGAGTAGAGCTGCAGTGGATAGACAGCGGCCAGATTGTTTGCAAGGTGATGTAATGTATGTGCGGATGTGTAGTTGAGACAGTGACTGATCCAGCCACGATTTCCGAGTCAACTCGGCAGCCAGGAGATTGACATCGTCGGCCCGGTCTGCCAGTCCTGCCGCGAGACAGCACCAGCCCAGCGATGCGAGTGGCTTTTCCCCGCCCGGGCTTCCCCTTACCCAGAAGGAGTAGTGTTTCACGGGAATCTGGGACGGCACGGGAAGGATTGGGATCCCGGCTCTTTATGATTGTGGATGGTGCATATTTTTGTACACGTTTTAGATCAAGAGAATTCTGGACCGTTTTGAATGGTTAGAACATGGGGCATAGTGATGAGACTCGGGAGGTGTCACTGTCTTGCAGTAGCTGCCGCGGTGAGCTTGGGTTTCGGCAGTGTTGTTGGCGTTGTCAAGATGTTGTGCGGTCGTGACGAAGGATTCAGATCGGCGCTTATTTTTAGACCATTTGAGCCAACGGCCCAGGATGCGGAAGCCAAAACTCAATTCAGACTTCATGAGCCACTGTTTTATGAGAGAGAGCGAAGGGGATGATGATATAGAAAGATATTGAATCATGGTGTCGAGGGTGACAAATGCCAACAGAAGAGCAAAAGTATATCCGAACTATTTTCCGGTACCGGGAATCGAACCCGGGGCTTCTCGGGGCTCTCATGAGATGAAAGCGAGATATGTTAACCCCTACACTATACCGGATTGTTGTTGAAAGTTGGCTGCAAAGATTGGGTTGGATACTGGCTGGTTCCGCTTTTTCGTGGGTAATTGGGTTGAGTCTCCAGTGGAAAAGACGCTTTGGCGGATTCAGATATCCACATGTGGAAAGCAAATCCTGCGAGGACATGCAGGCCTGTTGGCTGTCAGGTGAAGAGCTGTGTGGGTTGCAGATTATGATTAGGATTTGCGCTAGCTGGAATCCTTTATCCCAACTTGATTCAAACATGGAAATTGAAGATCAAGGAGGCGGGACTCATTCTCCCCCAGCCTCCTCCCATAAGCCGCCCAGAAATTCCAATACGCATGCACCCTCCGATCCCTCCGATCCTGCCTGACGCCGGCCATAAAAACCCTGACCTCATCCGCCGACCAACCCAAGACGCGCGTAAACAGGGCCAAACTCATGCTCTCACACCCCCCACGTAAAGTTTGTATACGCCCACCGCCCGAGGACCTTGTGCCTCGCATCCCGCGGCCACATGTTGATGGGCCACTTGATGGGCCGCGCCACGATGTCGACGAAGCCGGCGGCGTGCATCATGTCGGGGACCTTGGAGATGGCATCCAGGGGGAACCCGGCGGCGGCGGCGGCCTCGTGCATCAGGGCGTGCCACTTGGCCAGGGCCGAGTCGGCGAGCAGGGTGCCGTCGTCGCAGCGGATGACAAAGTCGGTGTCGTGGACCTCGAGGTAGCCCGAGGGCGTCAGGTAGGCCAGGGACTGGGCGAAGAACCTGGGCCAGTCCCGGAAGGCGCCGATCATGAGTTGGCAGTGGATGTAGTCGAACTTGTGCGTGAAGTACCCTCGTGCTGTCGGCCGTGTTCTCGCCGCTTATCATTTCATCTCGAATCGATGTAGTAGATGAGTGAAACTACTGCCGTCAATAACGCCATCAACAATGCCCAAAAATATATCGCAAACACGTACACTGCCAATAGCCGAGTCCCCATCGTCCAGGACAGCCTCCATCTCTAATTCCTGTGCCCGCTGGTTAGCTATGCCCAGGTAGCAAAGAGCGGAGCTCACATCGGGCTCGAGGGCGGTGTGGGAGGCGACATCGACGGTGCTATCGGGCTCGGGAGACCGAGGGCTTGAACCCGCCGACGAGGGGTTGGTACTGGCCGGCTCCATTCTGTCGGGTGGGCGTGGTAGGACGTTGTTTCGACTGCTGCTCGGGAGAAGAGCCCGGGAGAAAGGATTCGGCACAGGCGTCCTGGCAAAGGGCTGGGGCCTCGCTGGCCTGGGTGGCCCAAGGGCCTGGGCGGGTGGAGACTTGGCAATTTGACGACAGAGTCATTGGTGTCACGGCCATTCACATTAACTAGCGGTGGTGGTGGCGATGGCGGGACTTGGTCGGGGCGGGGCTGCTAGCCAAAACGACACAGGTCTACACCTCCTAGGTTGTCTTGGCGACCTCAGCGCTGGAAACGGGGTGGTATTACACGAGTAGCGTATTCAGACTCCCGAACCGCCGCTGTCTCTGTGCTGTCATCACATAATTTGTCTTGCGTACTACCCGAAGACCCCTGGATGGCGGCAGCGCCAGGACACAAACCAGGTCAGAAACGCGCACTCGCCTGCATCTAGCGTTGACAGCTGCGGGGACTGCGTAGGGACTGCGGTGTCCTGGGTGGTGCCATGAGCACACCGTCTGCCTGCAGTGGCTCCCCGCTGTCTATTCCCCTCGTCTGAGAGGCTGGGGCGAGGCATTTCCGCCCGCCACCGTTATCTTATCATCATCCGTACCTCCACCGTGTCAGCACCAAATCGCATCTTCGCCATTCGAACTAGCTTGACAGGCGCCAAGAGCTGACGATGGCTTTCTTCTGGCCCCAGCTGCCTAGTGCAGCCCTTGTGGGCGCCGCGCTGTTCACAGCATATGTCGTGCACAGCTTCTATGTGTGGTATCGCCTCTCGCACGTGCCCGGACCTTTCTGGCCGGCCTTCTCCAAGTATTGGATGGTGAGCGAATCTCTCAAGGGACGCCAGCCAGCCGCCATCAAGGAGGTGACCGACAAATACGGCAAGCTCCCTCCTTCTCACTCTGGTCAATAAACCACGACTAATAGTGTGAATAGGATCACTTGCGCGCATTGGGCCGAATGAGCTGGTCACAGACGACCCTGAGCTCTTGCGCAGGATGATGGCTGTTCGATCAGCTTACACCAGGGGTCCATGTATGTGGTAGCTGATGTCTGAATGAGAGCACAGCTGATGGACACAGGGTATGACGCGCTGCGGTTTGACCCGACGAGGGATAACCTGCTGTCGCAACGTGACGATGTCGCCCACAACCAGCTGCGCGCCAAGATGGCCGCCGGTGTGAGTCCATTCGACCATCACCAGGTAAGAACCAATGAGCTGACAACCACAGTACGCCGGAAAGGAGAACCTCTCCATGGAGGCTACAATTGAGACCCAAATCTCGAAACTCATCCACCTCATCGAGACCAAATACCTCTCCACCACTTCCGAGTACCGTCCCATGGACCTCGCCCAAAAGGTGCAGTACTTCACCCTCGACGTCATCAGCGACCTCGCCTTCGGCAGCGCCTTCGGCTACCTGACCCAAGACGGCGACGTCTTCGACTACATCAAGATAACCACCTCGGTGATCCCCGTCATGCTCGTCCTCGCCAACATCCCCTCCCTTGCCAACCTCCTGCAGTCCCGCCTCTTCCGCGGCCTCCTCCCCAAGGAAACCGACGCCCTCGGCTTCGGCGCCTTCATCGGGTACCTCCTCCCCCCCCCTCCCCCCCTTTTCGTCTTAACTAACGCCCCTTAGGGTCACCAAAAAATTCGTCTCCGCCCGCTACCACCCCTCTGCTCCCTCCCAGCCCGACATGCTCGGCTCCTTCATCCGGCACGGCCTCACGCAGGAGGAAGCATCGGGCGAAGCGCTCCTCCAAGTCATCGCCGGCAGCGACACGTCGGCCTCGACCATCCGCGCCGTCATGCTGCACCTGCTCAGCAACCCGGCCGCGTACCGCCGCCTGCAGGCCGAGATCGACGCCGCGCCGATCTCGAGCCCCGCCAAGGACGCCGAGGCGCGCCAGATGCCGTACCTCCAGGCCGTCATCAGGGAGGGGCTGCGAATCCTGCCGCCGGCGGCCGGCACCTTTTTCAAGACGGTGCCTGAGGGCGGGGACGTGATTCACGGCATGTTTGTGCCGGCCGGCACGCAGATTGGGTCGTCGCCGCTGGGGATCTACCACTCGAAGAAGATTTTTGGGGAGGATGCTGAGCTGTTTCGGCCTGAGAGGTGGTTGGAGGCCGAGGGAGAGGAGTTGGCGCGCATGGTGAGCACGGTCGATCTTGTGTTTCACTATGGCAAGTATCAGTGCCTAGGGAGGCCGGTGGCGTTGATGGAGTTTAACAAGATTTTTGTCGAGGTGAGTCGATCGACGTGGAGGCACTGCGGTGTCATGTTGCTGACGCTGCGACTTAGCTGCTGCGGCGGTTCGACTTTCAGATTGTCCGGCCTGAGCATCCGGCAAAGATTGAGAATGCAGTGAGTAACTTTGAAGATGCCGTATTGTTATGTTCTTGGCTGACGATATAGGGGATATGGCTCTTTGAGAACTTTTGGGTTCGAGTTGTTCAGAGAGAGTAATGTGAAATATTGACTTGGACATATCTTGTGGAATATACGAGTATACTAGTATTATAAAAGTTCGCCAAGATAGGTAGGTGTCTGGTTACGCCATTGGTACCGTATGGCTTACACCATCACGTTAAAGCAACTCAAGACTTGCCGCGGAATACCAGTTGTACCTTCAGCCAGCTATCCAGCTTTCCTGACTCCCCGGGCCTCCAATATCCGGGCCCCCATTACTTCTTTATTCCAGGAGAAGTGGGCTTGTCACAGGCAATTATAGAGAAGTGGAACACTGAGTAATGTTCACATCCAAGAAAAACCCACATTTTCCACCTACCGCCTTGCAGCGGCACTACCAGGGACTGTTGAGAGCGGCGATCAAGACCACCGGTCACGGTCGAAGCCGCAGCCGCAGCCTATTGAGTGGCTTTAATAGGGCAGCAGTAATATTTATGGACATTTCGTTTCCGCCAGGTCCAAGGTTTGGCCAGTGTAAATTCGGGGTTCTATTATGTGAAGACTATAAAAATATGAGACTAGGCTAACCCAGTGAGGCATCGTGGTACTATGTGGCTCACACCATTGTCTGTGGTGCAATCCTCCCTAATAGAGCAATCAGTCCTGATGCGGCCTGGCAAGTAAAAGTTATTTTTTGGTTGTTTTCTGCGTCTTGGAACTCGAAGACTCGCCCGCATCTTCAGAGTGCTTTCGCTTTTTCGCCCCCCTCTGCCTTTCCGGGTCAGTATCGACCAATCTGGTGTATGAAAGCTGTGCTCTTACAAAAGACAGGTCATCACCATGTGTAGGACAAAAGCCCTTCCCCTCCGCCAAAGCAGCCCAGCAATTATCTCCTTTACAAACGTTTGGCCTCCATTTATCTGTTGCGTCCGTAACGTGACTCCTGTTGCGGCCGCTCCCGGTTTCCTCCCGGTTTTTTTCCTTGGCGGCCGAGTGCTTCCAAATGTTGGAACCGCATTTGCCCATGTTGACGTCAAAGGGATTTACTTATTCTGCTGTTTTCTTTCTTCTCCCTTTTCTTGGGAAAATATCAGTATTAATTTCGACTATTTACACTCCAACACCAGCGAGTTAGAAGAGCCAAGAGCTTACCATATCCTGCCTACAATCAATCCCAGCAATATTTCGCTTGGATCATGAGAACGGAGCAGCCAGGTGTCGCGCAATACCTCGGCTCCCGGTTGTCGTCCTTGGTCTTGCTCTTGTGGCCGCTGCCGGTCTCTTCTCGGTTCTTCTTCACGTTTGTTGTGTCTCTCCAAATGTTAGGCTCTTTTTTCCCCCCATATTGAGATTGCAGCTAATACCTAGGAACCGAAGACGTTGGTTTCTTTGTGATGGGGATTCTGGCTCTATAGCCCAGTATGTTGA